TTCTGGTGACACTGTTCTAGCTGCATTGAGGAGGATGAGTTAGAGGGGTTTGAGACTGGAGGCAAGAGGTCAATGACATTAAAGATGTTAAGTGACGTTACTACTGAACACGTGGTCCAGATGAGAGATAAACCAAGGTAGTTTGTGGAGGTGAAGAGGAGATAAACTACTGAGATCAAACCTGATGGCTGACCTGATGCAGGGGATGTAGGAAGAGGAGCTTATGATGAATCCTGGGTTTCTAGCATAGGTAACAGATACCATAATCAAGGGCAGGAATAGGGGAGAAAGAGCAGGATTTGGGGTAAATGTGATGCATTCAATTATTCACATGATGACTTTGAGAGAACTGTGGGATCCCTTTTGGACATGTCTTATCTTTGGACACATTATAGACACATTGACCTAGAGTTCAGGACAGTGGGATGGACTTGAGAAACAGATGAGAGACCTAGTGTCTGTGTGATAATAGAAGCTGTGGGCATGGATAACCTCATCCAGGGAGAAGAGAAGGAAAGCAAGGGTTAACTTTTAGTAACGGAAAGGAGAGAAAGGCGCCCAAGGAGACTGAGAAAGAGCAGTCAGAGAAACAGGAGAGACACACAGAATCTAAGGGAGGACAGTTTCAGAAAAGGAGGGATTGGTGAGCCGTGTCAAATGTTTCAGAAAAATTCTGAAAATTAACCACTGAGGGTTTGGCCAAAGAAAAGGTATTGGTGATTTTAATAGGCACTTTTTCTGTGGAGAGATGAGGGCAGAATCCACATGAATGGGAGGTGTGGCTCGGGTCAGGGAAGGTTCTACTTTTATAATGCAGGAAAGGTAAAGGCAGAAGGCTGACTTCACATGAACCTTGTCTATGAAGTGGGCAGAGAGCCGGGTTATCCGCTGAGAGATGGAGATGCAGTAAATCTCATGCCTATTTTAGACCCTGTGTCTGTGAAACTGGGATAATAATACTTTCTCACAGCCTGCACACAGTAGAGGCTGTATGTTCTCTCTCTGCCTCCTTTCCCTACTTTTTCCTTTCGTTCCTCACAAATCCAGCACCACCCTCCCAACAATTTGAAAATAAAAATAATTTAACCTTTGGTCTTGACCAAATTAATCAATTGCCTATTTGCTTCTCCTTGAAATAATCTTAGCCAAACTGGAGGACAGTATTTGGGTGCCTCTTCAGTAATCCTTCAGCATCTTTGCTCAGAACTCCATCCCTTAAAAAACAAACAAAAAAACTATAGTTCAGTGACATGTTTGGCAAAACAAATGCAAACTGCACTGGGCAGCAGTTTTAAAACAGAATTGACAATTATATAAATAAAGTATGTGTGGACACCAGGATTCCTCCCCAAACTCAAGTATTCTGAGAACCTAAAGGGATGGAATCATAAAACAATAATCTGGATTCAGCAAACCTGTAGGTTCCTCTCACCATTTCTATTCATTTGCTTTGCTTTGGAAAATTTAGAGTTTTTTGCCAACCGGGTAGAGCCAAAATTTTTGTTTTGTTTTTTCTTTCTTTTTTTTGAGGAAGATTAGCCCTGAGCTAACATCTGTTGCCAATCCTCCTCTTTTTGCTGAGGAAGATTGTTTCTGGGCTAACATCCGTGCCCACCTTCCTCTACTTTATATGGGATGCCGCCACAGCATGGCTTGACAAGCGGTGCGTCGGTGTGGAGCGTGCGCACTTAACCGCTGCCCGCTGCGCTGCCACCAGGCCTGCCCTCGTTTTTGTTTTTTGACGGATATACTGAGGTACAGTATCCTAGTGACTTATTCACACAGGTTATTATAATCAAAATAATAAGATCAGCACATAACTATTTCTGGATAGTTATGAAGATTAAATATTATTTATCTGGCATTTCTGCTTCCTTTAGTGACAGTAGCTATAAAGCAGTGTTTCTCAATCTTCTTGTGTTCCTGTCACCCTTTTGAATAGTTTTGGTGACCTAGGTAGTTGCAGGCCAGAAGTTACAAACTGGTAGCTCACAGAATGAGTTTTGATGGTCTTGCAAGTGTTTTTCTATAAGTTTGAATTAGCTGACATTTAGAAATCAGGTGATTTCACAGAAGTATTCAGATTTCTGGCTTCTCCTGAAAGATTGGGAGACGTCATAACCTGGCCCTGCATGTCAATAATCGCTGCCTGCTTCACGGTGGCTCCCCCTTCAGACCAGGCCTCTCAGCCTCTCACCTTATGTTACCTGTCTCTTCTCTGTAGGCATTTGAGTTTGACACCAGACTTTTGCTCTAGGCCAACTGACAGCTGCTTAAAGTGAATGGCTGATGGCACTGTCACTGTCATTATTTGTGCTTGTCTCCTCCTGAGACTGGGAACTCCCTGAGGGCTGGAGTGTTACTTGTGTCACGTGCTTGTGTACTTATAGCCCTGGGCTGTGCCTGGCACACAGGCACTCAATAAAAGTTTGGTTAACGACTCTATGACATTTAATTCTTTGCCAGCATTTGGCTACAGATGAGGAAGATGAAATTGCAATGACTTGCCTCAGGTCCAAAAGCTTAGAAATCCCATGTATGAGATCAGTCTAATCTGCCTGTAAGGATATGAGTAAAAGATAGGCTTGGTGCTCAAGACTATTTCTTGAGACGATCCGTCAGTCCTGAAGTGTTGATTCCTGGGAATCTCTTTTGAGTCACAATATGCATTCCAAAGGCTTTGAGGAATCCTCTTGTAAAACCACAACAAACAACTTGTTTTATTTGGCTTAACTGAATGTTTCTGAATGTTCATCTATCTTTTCACTATTTTGACACTTGATCTTTGATTCATAACATTCCCTCTTCTCAGATGTACTAAATGGCAAGCTATTTTTTTTTTTTTTTTTGTGAGGAAGATCAGCACTGGGCCAACATCTAATGCCAATCCTCCTCTTTTTGCTGAGGAAGACTGGCCCTGGGCTAACATCCGTGCCCATCTTCCTCTATTTTATATGGGAGGCCACCACAGCACGGCTCTACAAGCAGTGCGTCGAAGTGCACCTGGATCTGAACCGGCGAACACTGGGCCGCCACAGTGGAGAGAGCACCCTTAACCGCTTGCACCACCGGGCCGGCCCCGCAAGCTATTTTTTAATAATGGTAAAATAGAAGTATCCTAGTTAAGACAATTTTGCAAGAATTTTGTGACAGTCCCACAGATCCCCAGGGTCTCCTTCAGGGTACTGCTAAAACAGTGTTGGGAAATATGGCTTTCACTGTGGTCTTATTGGAAGTTAAGAGTGAAACTGTTTCTCTTTCTCCTTCGATTGGACCATAAATCTCTGAAGATATAATAGCTTACATTTGTATGGCATTTTATAGTTTACATTATCACATGCATTATCTCAGTCTCTCCTCACAACAACCCTGGGGGTAGGGATTATTACTCCATTTTATAGTGGAAGAAATGGTCTCAAAGAGCTTCAGTGACTTGTTCAAGGCCTAAACTAGCCAGAGGCAACGCCAAGATTTAAGCCAATCTTCGTACTCTAGATGCGACCACCTTCCTGCACTTCCAATTGACTTTTTTTTCTTGAGCACATCATCTTGCTTTTTGGTCAAATGAAAATTTGGCTCAATTCCTATGATTTGGGATTGTAATCCTCTCCCCCCAACCTAAAATACTGGCTCTACTGTTTCTAGTGAAGCCTTGATGACTACTAGGGGAAGGTGCTAAAGCTGGTTCTAGCACCTCAAGGGCCTGGAGGGCGCTTGCAGGGACATCAAGGGGGCTCAGATCCCCTTGAAGAGGCCCAGGACACAGGCAAGCTAGGTCTGACCTGGGCCTTTTGCTCCTGCACCTAAAATTTTTCCCACTCTGCGCCGTGCCTCTGGGCTACGAGCCTCACCTGCGTCCACACATTTGCTCTAAGGAGTTGCAATCTCGCCTCCTAGTTCTCCGGGTCCTAAGGGAGGAGTCACTCCTGTGAAAAGCTTCATTTGCCGAAAGAGCCTCCTCGACACCCATCTGCGCGCCTTTAACCGGCTTGGCGGGTGTCCCTTGCTCAGTTTGCAGATCTGGGTCCGGAAGCTTCGGGACACAGGCAGGCAGAGAGGCCGGGGCTCCAGTTCCCCAGCTTCCAGCTCCCCAGGGAGGGACCGGGTCTTCACCTCTGCCCGGTGCCCACTTCCCTGCGGAGCCCCGGGGGAGGGGAGCGGAAGGGAAGGGGGAGAGAGAGGCATAGTGGGAAGATGAGTGGGCGGGGAGAGTGGGGGGTTGGGAGAGTGGAGGAGAGGGAGAGGGGGAACAGGACGAGGGGGAGGAGACAGACGTGAGTGG